AACTGTTGTGAAATGTTCATGTTTTGGGAAGGTATTTGTGTCAGGGATTTGGGATTTCTAAGTTCTGGTTTGCCTGAGCCATGGCGTCCTGTCAGCTGGAGTTTGGATGTGTCGCATCGTGGCTCGGTTCTACATTCAGGCTCTTGGTGTGCGCTCAGAGGTAAAAATAGGCTGCTGTGGCTGTGTTCTGTGTGAGTCAGGAGGATATTTGGAGGAGGTAGGTGGGATGAGCTCAGGAACAGAGCTGCGTTAGCAGTGATTTGGAGCTTTTATCTGAATGTAGGGGAGGGTTTGGTTGGGCTGCATCACCATGGTTCTTCAGTCTGACTGGCACGTGCCCTTGGGCTGTGCTCTCCACCCACGGTGTTCCATCCTTGAGGTCTGTGCACGTATCGAAATCCAGCCAGCCTGTCACCATCAGGATTTGTCATTCCATGTGGTGCCATGTGCTCTGAAATGGGCAGATGGAGAAAGTGGTGAAATTGCAGCACTTCCAATGTAGGATGAAGACCCAGTAGTGACAAATAGTATTCTTTGTGCAGAGAAAATGTGAATTTCAGTGGTTCTGTTGTGGGAGGTCTGGATTGTGTTGATGAACAAGCCATTGGTCTATGTGTTGGGTGGGTGTAGTAATTAACATGGTCCACCTCTGGGGTACCTGTGTCAGTAAGCAGACGGTGGAAGCTTCAGGTGCTCTCGCTCAGGTTGGTATTGGGATGGTGGAGGTCAGTTCCTGCAGAACTCATGGGTGTACTGGTGGGACCCCTCCTTGTGAATGGAGGGATGGAGCGTGGTGTTCCCTGAAATCCAGCCTTTCTGAAAATTCATGAAGCTGGCTCTGGAAACCTAGGCAGATGGGCTGCTCACTAGATGAGACCATGCATGCCACAGGTCGTGGAGGATCTCCTGAGCTTTGGTTCCCAGCTAGGCAGCCTACTGTGTGAACTGGTGTTGTGTTAACCCTTTTCTCTGTGCTATGTCCTTTTGTTATTAGCGGAATTGGAGGACACGTCTTGGGAGGGCTCTGTAGACTTGAGCATGAGATTTCACTTTAAGGGCGGCAGCTTTTTAACGAGCACTCTTCTGAAAAGTACTGAATGATGTTTGGCTTGAGCTCCAAAAGTGAAAATAACAACGGCTTTTTGTTTGTGAGAGGGTGGGGAAAGGAAGGAACTGAAGCTCCTCTGTGGCTGGGCTGTGGTTAGACTTTACCATATCTGCTGCCAGGTGCTGGGTTGTAGCCTTCTGGCGGGATAGCTCCTCCACTCCTCTTAAGTTGGTTGAAAGATGTCAAAAAGCAATGACACAGAGGAGAAATGGACTCTTGCAGGTATTGTACCTCAGTGTGCCAGCACTGCTGGTCATGGCCCTGCGCCATGCTGGCTTCTTGCCCTGCTTGAGGCCAAACGATCGCCGAAGAACTCTGTTCACATCCAGCCTGTAAATAGCAGGGCTACAGAAGATGAGTGAGGCTTGTCCAGAGAAAACTCAAGAGAGTCATTAAAGGTTGGCCAAGTCCTGTTTGCTTGTGTGATGACCATCTCAGTGATGTTCATGGGTGGAAGGAGTGACTGCTCTGTCTCCATCGAACTACGCACACCACAGTGAGGCGAGGGACATCCAAAGGAGTTCGAAACGAGTGGGAAAAATCTTGAACCAGATTCAAAATAAGCCAATGGAAGTTGCTGAAATAAACTGAGATGGTGTTTATGGGGTAGATTAGAGTGGAGGTGAGCAGTGTGGTTGGAGGCGAGAGACCTGTGTGTAGACCTGCCTTGCCTCTCCAGGAGGGTCCTTCCTGCAGCTCAGCATCGTTGTAGATGAGCTGGACCTGCATTCAGCAGTGCTGTTAGTTTGTACTGCTCTGCAGACATCTGTCCATCTTTGACCCTGTCTCCAATTGCCTCTGCTTGCTCTGGCTGTAGGCGTGCCTGGTTGTGCCCGTGTTCCCATATGTGTGCATCCACTGTTGGGCTTTGTGTTTGCCTGTGTACAACATGTTGGCTTTGTCCTGACTTGAAGGGGAGTTCTTCATTGCTCCAGGTTTATCACCACCTTAAAATATTAGGTGGTTACACGGAGCAGCCTATCATGTTTAGAGAATTGCAACGTTTAGATAATGGCAGTTGAAATGCCACCTGCCCGGGTAGCCAAGACACACACAGACGTGCTGAATCCTTCAGGTGCTGCCTGCCATTGCCTGCTCTGGGATGGCCATGGCACACGCAGCTCTGCTGGATGTAGCCGTGGGGGTTTCACAGCCAAGGGCTTGTCTTTAATTCCCGAGTCTTGAGGTGAGCAACGCTGGGTGATAAATGGTGATGGTCCCTGATGGCGATGATGGAGAGGGTGCTGGTGCCTCCTGCATTAGCAGTGGTGGGTGGTGGCAGCTCTCCCAGGCTCTTCCCATGGCCTGTGTTAAAAAGCTCAGGCTGTTCTCTGGTATTTGCAAGCTCAGAGCAGCTTCAGTGTCATGCCATCGTGGCTGTGACCAGCTTGCCAGGGAAGTGTGGATTTGATGGGTTAAAGCACCATCCCTGCTGAGCTCGGCCATTTCACTTGGGGTTGCTGGGGTCTGGAGGGCTTTGAGTGTCATCTCCAGCCATGGCGTGAGGATGAGCGTGGTGGGAGAAGGTCCACTGGTTCCCTGGGCAGGGAGGATGCCAGACCCGAGGCAGAGTTGGGTTTTTTTGCTCCATGCACCCTGGTGGGAACGTTCCCATCCCCACAGGATGCTCCGGCACTATTAGTGCTCTGCAAAGTAACTTGTAGGGCTTCTGGAAATATGGAAATAGTGGGACAGTAAGCTTATTATAAGCATTAACATTTTATTTTCGTTCTAACAAGTGAATTAAGTTACTGTAAATGGCTTGAGCAGTAATACTTGGCAGTGTGCAGCCGCAACTTGTCATGGTTTTAATCTTATTTTTTTAAGAACAGAGGGAGCAATGCTTTTCTAACCAACTGGAGCCAAATCTACGCTCACGTCTGTCTCTTCCGTATCTCTTTGGGCTTTTGTTTGCACAATATTGTAGTGGATGTAGCAAACATATGGGGCTTAAATTCATTTAATAGTTGCAAGAAAATGAGTTTAAGGTTCTTATAGTATTAAGGTAGACATTTCCAAATTCATTTTTAATGGAACATTTGTTCTCCAAAGATTATTAACGCGCCATTAAGTCCTCTGCTGCCTGGTGCCTTCTCATGCCGTGGGATATTATTACCAAGGGACATAAACATGTTTATGGGGCTGCTTTATTGAACGGTGAGATTAAATATACTAAACTTGGAAATGTCAGTGGGAGCATGAGCACTTCATCATAGATCTTGTGCGAGAACATTAGGACGTAAGTGTCGTGCCACCACATAAAACTGGTGCAAATCAAGTTGCAGCCAGCTGAAAACTCCTCCCTGGTACAGCAGCTGTAAATGCTGGGATTTATCAGCATTAAATATGTAGATGGGAGCACGTAGTAGATGGGTTTTTCCTTTCCAGGGAGGACTAGATATGCTACTCAGGGGTCATAAAATGGCAAATGATGTTTTAATGTTTCTGTGTGACCGACGTTTGTGGGAGTGGGTGTGGGCAAAGCTCCCATCCAGTTGTAATGCTTCATCTCACTGCAGGGCATCACTGTTGGGGGACCCGTCTCTGCTTGTTTTATATATAAAATGGGCAGCATTTTATTTTTTTTGTATATATAAATGGGCAGCATTAGCCCTATGCCACCCCTATGCCATCCCCTCACTCAACCTGGGGGAAAAAAAATTAATCCTTGAATACAAAGGTAGAAGAAGCTCTGATAAAATGATTTATGCACTGAGGTAATGACTTACACACTGAGATATATCTCCATATAGATATAGGTACATAATGGGCAGCACCAGACCTGCTCGTCCCTCTTTGCATTGCTGTTGTTACCTTGGTGCACAAGTCTTGCAGAGTTTTTTCGACCCTCAAAGTCAGGGATGATTATTTTTTTTTTCCTGAGTTGAGTGATAAAATTAAGCATTGGCTGCATAAACCTAGTATTTGGCTGGTTTTATGCCAAAACTAGTTGAATTTGCTGGTCTGACTCCAAATCTGAGTTGGCTTTTGGGCTTCTTACACTGGTATGTGACATCCAAAGGCGCAGGGCTTGGCTACTGCCGTGGTCTGGGCTGCGTGTCCTTCTGCGCAGGACCGATGGCCAGCCTGGGCAGACAGAAAGATCAAGGGAGAGGAATTTGTGTGGGTAATGGAAGGAGTTAACAAGACCAGGCTTAATTCCTGCTACTGTGTTGAAATGTGAAGGGCAATAGCATATATTTATGTGCCTGGGTTAATTAACCACATCATAAATCTCAATAGCATATTTGCAGCCTTTTCTTGTTCCTCGATGCTGGGGAGCGTTGTCTTTGTCTTGGGCTTATTTTTGAATAATGAAGAAGGGTTTTTTTCCCCCCCCCTCTCCCTCCTGAACCTCTTGAGAGCTAAAAAAAAGCCCTGTAAGTTGGTTGGGGTTTTGGGGGGCTGCATCCCACCACACTGGGCTTTTATAGTAGGAGAAGCCCTGAGCTGCACATCTCCATGTGAGGTGGATGAGGCTTTGAGCAGCCTGGGCTAGTGGGAGGTGTGCCTGCCCATGGCAGGGGGTTGGAACTCGATGATCTTTAAGGTCCCTCCCAACCCAAACCATTCTGTGATTCTATGGTACATGCACGTTGTTGTAAATCAGCTGGGGAGGGAGGTTTGGTGGTTATGGTGGGAGGATTGGTAGGGATGTGCAAAATGTGGTTTGTGCTTGGGTGTTTCTGCTGTCGAGCAGGTTGAACGCTGGCTGCAGATGCTCTGAGCTTGATGGGGTCATGGCTACGTTATCTACTTGGAAATGAAAACTAAAGTCTGTATATAGGAGGTCTTCATAAGCTTGCTTTAACAGTGGGCAAGGATTTGGGGCAAAAAAAGAGATTTGAGGCTGCAGACCCCATGCCTCACCTGTAGCTCTTCTGCTCCCCAGGCATCGACATCCTCAAGCTGGTGGCAGCCCAGGTGGGGAGCCAGTGGAAGGACATCTACCAGTTCCTGTGCAACGCCAGCGAGCGCGAGGTGGCGGCTTTCTCCAATGGCTACGCGGCCGACCACGAGCGCGCCTACGCCGCCTTGCAGCACTGGACCATCCGCGGGCCTGAGGCCAGCCTGGCACATGCCCTGCGCCAGCACCGCCGCAACGACGTGGTGGAGAAGATCCGAGGCCTGATGGAGGATACCACCCCGGTAATGATGGGCTGGGCGTCGCACGCTCTTGTCTGATGCGGTGCACGTTTTATCTGGCCGTGGCGAGCGTGTGGGTGTGTGGGACCTGGCTGTGGCCTCAAGCTGAGCTAATAGACGAGTAGCTGGACTGCACCTCTCTCTTAAAGGGGGCTACTGGAGAGGTGGGGAGGGACTCTATCAGGGGGTGGAGTGATAGGACAAGGGGTAACAGTTTTAAGCTGAAAGAGGGGAGATTTAGATTAGATATTAGGAAGAAATTTTTTCCCTTTTCCTGTGAGGGTGGTGAGGCAGTGGCCCAGGTTGCCCAGAGAAGCTGTGGATGCCCCATCCCTGGAGGGGTTCAAGGCCAGGCTGGATGAGGCTTTGAGCAACCTGGGCTAGTGGGAGGTGTCCCTGCCCATGGCAGGGGGGTTGGAACTTGACAATCTTTAAGGTCCCTTCCAACCCAAACCATTCTGTGATCTCCCCCTGGAGCTCCTCAGGGACTTATATTTAAGCTTTACACTGCTTTTGAGTAAAGCTTTGACAGAGTTTGCTCAGAACCTTGTCAAAGTTCTGACAAGCTCTTGAGTCTCGTGTGTTGTGGTTTACATGCGTCTTTGAAGGTCACCAGGAAGACCTGGTACTTGACCCCTCGTATTGGGGACGTTCCCTTCTTTGGCAGCTCCAACCTTAAAACAACCTGGTGGTACCCCATGGCTTTGACTTGTTTTCCTAGAAATTGTTAAAATTGGTTTGCTAATCTTTTGAGCAGATGGCTCACGTGGATCCACATGACAAATGATGCTCATTTCAGCAAAGGGGCTGTTTTTAACAAATTCACCTGAGCTGACACATCCTTCCCCCCTGTGCATCCAGTGGGGCTTTTTTGGATGAGCATCCTTCATGATCAACCTTAGGTGTTGGCTGTTCCTCTGCCCTGAAGCTCCTGGACCAGTTGCTGTGCTGCAGCAGTACGTGGGATGTCAAAGCTCAAAAGCACCCCAGGGTGCAGATTTGGCATGGCAGCACGCTGCGTTTCTGCAAGGGATTTATTACCTGCTGTAACCTGTCTGCCTCCTCTCCCTGAACTGGCTCCTGCCCTGTGGATGTGGGTGGTGATGGAGTGGCCCTGGGAGGGATGTAGAAAGCTGTGGGAAGTGGCTTGTGCAAGGGAGACAGAAGCCTTGGAGCCTCGTGCTGGCAGCTGAGTTGGGTGCAAGTGTTCTGGACCGCAGGTGGCCACAAGAGGACATGTTGAGTGTGGTTTTTTTGGTTTGCTTTTGTTTGGTTGTCTTTTTTTTTTCAGTTTGCACCTTTAATTAGAGCTAATCCAAGTTTGGCTCTGAGTAGTTTATCCATCCAAATGCAGACAAATGGAGGCAGTTTCTCTCCGTGCTGAACTGGTTTGATCCAAAGGAGTGGGTCACCACCTTGGTGGCAGGCATAGGTGGTTGCTCCAGCAACCAAAAAACCCTCCAAAAATAATAAAAAGAGGTTTGTTTGTTTGTTTGTTTGTTTTTGCCATGGACAAAGTGAGGTTGTTCATAAGCCATGCAAACACATGCATCTGCCCTACAGCGTGATGCCCTTCGGGTGACCCGACCCAGCAGCAAGCTGTCCTTGTGTGTCCTGGATGAGCTGGGATGGATGCTTGGGTGGCTGTGGTGTCCATTACACCTTTGGCGCTTGCCCAGCATCCCTGGGTGCAAGTGGGAGCTCCCTCATGTCTCCCCATGGCCCTGTATCATAAAGTAAGCTCTGACCCTCCCCCAGCTCATTGGTACAAATTGTGTTATTGGGTGACATAGCTCTCAGACAGCACATTGGTACCATAAACCCAGCCAGCCTGCCTTTGCCATCACATCCTTGTCCAAAATCCTTTATCTGGCATCTGGCTTCAGCCTGTGAAACCTGCGGAGGCAAAGCAGCTCTCTCCCATAGTGCCTTATTCCCTTGGCAGCTTTTGGGCTCCGAAATCCAAATATTTACAACCCCTCATAGGAATAGAGGAATTAATGGGAGTCTCTGGAGCGTTACATGGCAGGAATGTTTTCCTTCAGGTAGGGAACAGCTCAGCTGAAGGTTCATCAGCTTTTTTAGCCAGGGAGGATTATGCTGGGTTTGCATCGTGCTGAATGAATTTAGGTTAAAACGAGATTAGCCCTCTGAATCGCCTTGCTAGGGTTTTGTGGTTTGTTTTTTGTTTTTTGTTTTTTTTTTTTTTTTTTTTTTTGCAGTGCAGCTGATGCAGAAAATACAGTGAGTGCAGCAGCTGAGGGAAGGCTTTTTTGGGGTGCATTTAACTCGCAGGGCTCCTGTTAAGGGTTGGCATCGGCTAGGAACACCTCTCCAGCTCGAGGTTTGCAAAATCTCTGCCCTTGCAGGCAGGATTGCCAGGCAGTGGGGTGCGAGCCCAGGCGCTGTTCAGCGAGCAGAGGCACACCCCAAATTAATGGTGCTGATAGCATCAAAAATTGGGGATAGAGGGGGGGAAAGGGAGAGGTTTTTGCTGCTGTTTCAGCAAATTGCAATTCCCCATTTTGGGGTTAAAAGCATAAAAATTGGGTGCAGCACAGGCACTGGGTAATGGGATTTTTTTGGGGCTGTGTAACAGCATTTGGCAGATAGAAAGGGGTGTCTGTGCTCACCCAGAGTGGCCTGGGGCCGTTGCTGGCATGGCTGGCCATGTTTGCCACTGTAAGTGTCTTGCCATGAGCAATGCTTTAAGCTCTTACCTTTTTATTTCTGGCTCTGCTGGCCTCGGCTGCAGTTTTTCAGGGAATGGATGGAAGGGAAGCAAACAGCCTTGCTCAGGGTGCTCAGCAGCACAGACTCAGCAAAGCTTAAAAAAAAAAAATAATAAGGGAGATGTTGAAAATGGAGGGGGGGGTCTGTAGCCCTGAGTTTGATGAGATTTAGGTCCATGGCTAATTGCATGCCGCAGATAATCCCATGAATCAGCAGAAATGTCAGGGCTGAGTCTGGTGTGAGGTTAAGCCATGGGGTTTTTGTGGGATGCTGGAGGAGAAGAGGATGTGAAAGCAGCTCCGTGTCCAGGCGTGCGGCTGTGGCAACGCCTTTTGGCTCCTTTTCTTCCTCTTTTGCAGGTCAAAACCCTGGGAGGGGGAGTCAAGAGCCTAGAGCGGTGTTCCCCAAATTCGGCTCCTGCCCATCCCCTTCATTTCCTCTTCTGGCAAAGCAGAACTGGGCTGGACCCAGTAATTAGCAATGAGGTTTGCACGCTGCCATCGGTGGCAGAGCGAGGGTGCAGCTGTTGGGTGGGTTTCCCAGCTTGGGGGTTGTGGTCCAAGGGCTGAGAAGTACCCAGGCAGCCAGGAAAGAAAACAAAATTGCATGCGATTTTTCCTTCTGGACTTGCATCAGGTTTTATTTGAGGCACAAAGCTGTAGGATAAGGTGGCCAGAGCCCTGGGGAAGGGGTAGGGCTGTTTGGGTTTTGCTGAAGTGGACATCACTGTTTTTCTCCAGGTTTGCTCTAAAGCGTGAGGTGGTTTTCGACAAACTGAGGTTGGGTTTGAACCAGGCTGGAGAACATGCAATGAACAAAAATGTAATAATATATAAAGTAGTGCAAATATAAATAATGTAAACTTTGTAGTAGATGTGGTTGTAATTGAGGTTTCCCTGCTGTGGTAGCCACATCTCCTTGGGTTTGTGTATTTGCAGTGTATTGGGCTCAGGAGCATAAGATGAAACTAGAAAATGGTGGGGTCAGAACAAGCTGAATTTGGTGTACTGACTTAGCCTGTAGTTGAGTTTGTAACTCTTCATCAGGGCTTCATCAATTCTTCATCATGGTTGGAGTTGAAAACATGGGTGGGCAAATCTCTAGAAAGGAGAAGCCACCAGGAGCTCTCATGGAGACACCATCTCCTGCTTGGAGAAGCACTTGGCCCATGAATGGCTGGGGCTGGTGGGGAAGAGCTGCTTCCTCTGTGGGTGGCTGCGTTTTGGTGTTGGTGTCTAAACCCTTGCCAGACCCAGCATTCTCCATCCTGGGTCACGTGAGGCTTGGCTTGAGTAGCCCCTCTCCAGGGCTGTCTGGTGGAGGTGGCATCCCTCAACACAAGGAGAACTACTCAAGTCAGGAGAGCCAGGTTTTCAGAAGAGCACCAGTGAGGTCGAGGACATCGAGAGGACATTTGGATTTTCCCACCCCACGATGCTGGCCCTTGTGCCCTTCCCATCCTGGCACAGGGCTTGCCTCCTGCCCTGCAGCACCTGCACACCATCGCTGCATACCTCTGCCACCTCGATGGGACCTCATGGCCTGGCCAACTGTGTGTCACCTTCCAAGGTCTGCTCTGCCCTGAACGTGGACCCCCAAACACCACATGCACCATGAAACCGCTCATCCAAGCAGATCCTCCCTACACTTGTGGGGGCCATAGCGAGAGCATCCATCCCCGACACCACCCTGCATCAGCAACCCAGCCCACCCTGCCTCATTCACCGAGGTTTCTCCCACCGCATGTCCTACGGAGGTGTAGCAGACCTGGGAACGGAGCTGGTGTCAGCCGGGGGTCATCTTTCAGCAGGGAATCTGGGAAATGGTGGCCTCAGTGCTAAATTTATTCCCAGTCCCGAGAGGATGTGTACCCAGCCTCTGCTGAGGTTGCTTCTCTGAACCCAGCTGCCTGCCCAATTTTCTTTTTTTTTTTTTTTTTTCTTCTTTTAATCGGCAGTAGTTTGAGTCATGTTTGTGTTGGGACAAGAAAACCCCACCCAAGCGCGGCTGCCCAAAGCTGGGCTGATGCAGCAGCAGACCTGCCACTGGATTTTATTACCGCCTGGTTGCTGCAGGAGGAATTACAAGGAAGCATCACCCAAGGGAGGATTTTTTTTTTCACTTCCGTCACTGTTCTTTCCTGACATTAGCACAGCAGCTGAAGTTTCTGTTTGTCCGAGTTGAGCTTTTATTGCAGTACAGTAAAACGAAGGCAGAAAATGGGACCAACCAGTTCCAACAGAGCTGTTGAGAACAGCTGTGAAAAGAAAACAAAGCCAACCTATGTTGTCTTCTGCACACATCTCCTTCTGTCCCCTTGTCTTCCATTTAGGAAGGACCTTCAGACACCCTCAGCTGCTTTAGAGCATCCTCCAGACACATTGGGATCCAAGAGGATGTTAGTGCTTGAGCCGCAGCCAAAAGGGAGCTTTTAGGGTTTTTTTGGGGTTTTTTTTTTTGTTTGTTTTGTTTTGTTTTGGCATTGCAAACCTCTTGCTGCAGTGCTCAAAAAAAAAATAAAAAAAAAATTGGCGGAACGCCCCGGTACAACTGACCGGTCGCAGGAGGCTGCTGATGCATCAAAGCTGCTGCGGCGCCTTCGGTTTTTCATGCCAGTCCGTGTGTCTGACAGTGTCCGTGTGTCTGTCTGTGCAGGTGCAGATGCAGCCTCAGTGGCAAGCGCAGGACCCCTGCCCCGATGATGGAAAGGTGAGAAATGCAGCGGCTTTGGAAGGGCAAAGGGCTCCAGAGGAGTTGGGTTTTTTTGTTTTTTTGGCGTTTTTTTTCCCAGCAAGAGCTTGGTTTTGCTCAAGGATCGCCATTCTTAAAAACAGGAATGACCAAGGTGATTTCAGCAAATGAGTCACGGGCTGTGAATAGTGTATTTTTACACCTATTCCACAGGCTTCACCTCGCAGCAACCTTGTGCTTTCCCCAGCCTTTCAAAACCCTCATTCCCACTCGCTTTCTTCCTGCGGTTTAAATATTAACACGCATCCCAGCATCCTGTTGACTTTGTCTCATAAGCTCACAACCGTTCAGTTATTTGGAAAGCTTTGGGCTCCTGGGATGCCTACAGTCAAATAACCTCGGGTGATTTTTTTTTTTTCCTACTGTGCTTTAGCAGCTGTTTAATTAAACTCCAAATGACTCGCACGCTTCTGGGAAGGGATTTTCTCCTCTGCTGGGAAGCTAGAGCCAGGGCATCCGGCTGCTCCCAGCCATCCCTGTAATTGCTCCTCAGCCGTCGGGCCCCTTTTTTTGGAAATTGGGAGGTGGGTTTGTGGATGGATATTAAATGAATGAGTTACAGAGGGAAAAACTAACCCCTAAAGCCTGTTTTTTTTTTTTTTTTTTTTTTTAAGGGGAGATTGGAGCATTTGCAATTTGGAAAGCAGCCAGCCGCTGTTCTGCTCCTTCCCTTGCTTTTCCCCTGTTCATGGCAATGGGCTGATTCTCGTTGATGGGCTGTGTTGGGAAGGGAGTTTTGGAGGAGAAGACAGATTCTTTTAATTAAAAATTAAAGCTGACTTTTATTTTTAACATGCCTATTGCATAACATGCTGAGCTAGAACAAATCCTTCCCTGTTTATTTTCAAGGGGGGGGGGGGAAATAAAAAAAAACCCTTTTATTATACCAAGAGCAGGCTTCAATGTTAATGTAATGTGAACTAATGGGCGTCTCAGCAGACATGTGATTTGTGGGTGGCGAATTCCTCGACACAGATGAGGAATGCGCAGGCACATCCATGCCAGTGCGGAGGTGGCTCGGCAGCTCCCTGTCCCACAGCCTTTAATCCAAATTTTACATTTTAATCCCTGGGTGGTAGGCAAAAGTGTGTTAGCAGGAATAGTCTGGTCTTCCCTCTATAGAAGGAGAAAACGGGGCTGCAAAACGCTTTGGGGAGAGTTGCACATGGACAGGGCTTGCGATTCTGCACTCTGGCAGGTCAAGCAGGGATGTGGGGTTTGGGAAGAAGTTAAATGTTAGGTGGTCCTTAAAGCAGCCCCTTTGGGGGGACCTGGTGACCTGCAGAGGTGCCCGAGCTGCCGGCCAGGGATGGAGGGATGCTGCCCCGAGCCTCTTGTCCCTGTGGGAAATGGAAACCAGAAATGCTCAGCTTCAGCTTTGCACACTGAGGGGATGCTGAGAGATGGAGGAGGGTTGATAATGTTGGCTGCCGCTGCGCAGGTAGGAGGGAGATGCAGGAAGGAAGATGTAGAATGTGGTCAAGTTAGGAAGTGGGTTCACACTGGTCCCCAAATGATGCTGCTTCCCAGCGCAGCATGTCCCAGAAGTGCTTGCTGCTCCCTGTGTCCTTGGGACCGTGGAGCCCAACGCTTGCCCTTGGCTTACATCAGGGCAACAAAAAGCAAAGGCACTGGGGTGATGCTGGGGTCACTGCCAGCCCTTGCTTGCCCTTCCTGGCCCTGGACTGGGAGTCAGGTGGGATGGATTTCTCCATCATGCATTAATGGGGTGCTCACGAGAGCGGGGTCAAGATGGGGCAAACAAATTATTAACTTTTGAAATGTTACTGGTGTAGCTGGTCACAGGAGCGTGCTGATCCCTGAGGGGTGCTGCAGCTCTCATCCTGCAGCCTTGGCACCGGCTGGAGGCGTGGAGCTGGGCTATGCCTTGCCTTTGGGAAATGAGAGCTGTGGAGCAGGTTTTTTGGGGGGCTTACCTGCTTGGGTGTTATCATGTTTAACCCCCGAGAGTGGTACTTTGGGCTTTAATAACCTGAGAGTGAAAAGGAAAACCAAGTTCCAGTGCTCTGCTGGGGATGCACGCACCATCCAGGTGCTGCGGTTGCTCCCACTGAGAGTGGGGGTTGCATTACCCCTCCTGCTTGTTGGGCTCTGGGGTGCCAAATGCCAGCGCTGATGTCCACCCCTGGTCACATCCAGTGCCTGTTCTGGGTCAGCAGGTCCCCTGGGAGGAGGAGGAGGAGGAGGCCATCCAAACATGGGGACCGCTTGCTGAGGATGGGCTGGGATGTGTTGACAGCCAGGACGCAGATGGTTTTGAGTGCGATCCCATTGCATAGCATCCCCCTAAGTTAATTTTTCCCCTTTTTTTCCCTTCCGAAGGTGGAAGCTGACAGACTGGCACTGCCGGCGAGCCCCAGCCCGCTCAGCCCTGCGCCCACCCCCAACCCCAAGCCCCCTGAGGCCACTGTCCTCACCGTGGAGCCCTCTCCTTCGGAGAAGAAATGCTTCTTCGTCGACGAAGCGGAGCCCCTCCTGCGGTGCGACTCCACCTCCAGCGGCTCCTCTGCGCTCAGCCGGACAGGCTCTTTTATTACCAAAGGTACCAAAATCCATCCAGGAGGGGGAACAGTAGAACTAAAGGGGTGCCATGGCGTGTCCCCTGCGGTCAGCTCACATGGCAGAGCTGCCCGATGTGATACCATAACAGTAAATAACTGGGAGAACTAGCTCTCCAGGATACATGTATCACATCCTCATTCCAGACCAGAATATCCTGTTAGCAAAGATGATACACATGTGAAAGGGGAAAACACCTTTAAAGGCTTTTAACTCTTGAAGTGCTGACAGAGAATTTGTAGCATCCTTGGATGTTTGGGAGGAGTGGTTCTCATCTTTTAAATGTCATTTAAAGACTGATTTTTTTTTTTTTTTTTCCTCCCCGCCCATAGTCCAGCTTGCTTCAGCATGTGGCTTGAGATGTAAATCACTGTTAGTCAACCCCCTTTGTTAGGTGGTTTAATTTACTGGATTTGACTTGCTGCATTTAATCTTCTTCAACTTCTGATGAAGGTGAAACACTGAGCTCAATCAATCTACCGAATTTATGCTTGGAGGTGGAAATGAAGCTGACCCAAGGAAAACAGCTCAAAAGAGCAGAATTCAGCTTTTCTGGCTCCCCTTCCTCTTCACTTTTCTGCTTTGGCCATTCAGCATTTATAAATGCTGTGTTTGCTCTAGCAGGATCCTGGATTTGGTGCCTCAGCATCACTGGCTTTCTCCATCCTCTCCCCTCCCCATCACTCATCACCCTCCACCTTTTCCCTTGGTTCTCTCTGTGATGTGTCCAGACGTGGCAGCAGGGGATGGACCGAGGTCTCCAAGGAGAACAAGCCCTGGTTAACAGAGGTTTCTTTAGGGGTTTCTTGACCACCTTCTCCTTTCCTCCTACAGAAAAGAAGGACACTGTCCTGCGCCAGGTGCGCTTGGACCCTTGCGACCTGCAGCCCATCTTTGACGACATGCTGCACATCCTCAACCCCGAGGAGCTCCACGTGATCGAGGAGATCCCGCAGGCTGAAGACAAGCTGGACAGGCTATTTGAGATCGCCGGAGTCAAGAGCCAGGAAGCCAGCCAGACCCTCCTGGACTCTGTCTATAGCCACCTTCCCGACTTACTCTAGGCACTGGGGTCACCACGCACTCTCCGAATATCTGCTAGAGCTAGCTTGGCACTCGTTAAGACAACCGACAATACGCAGGCAGGTTTTGTTGTAGAATATATGGCCAGTATTTCCATTGAGATGTCCTTGATTTCTGGAGGGGGGGCAGTTCGCACCCCTCCACCCCTTTCCCCAGCATCTCTTCTCCTTGTGCTCATTCCAATCAGATCAGTCAATGCACTTTAAAAAATAAAAAAAAAAATTGCAGTTAACAGACTAAAAGACCGTGAATCTGGTGTAATTTAACACATCAAATAGGGGATTGCTGGTAACTCACTTCTGTCAAAGCTGTCGCTAGGAGTGACTGTCTCCCACTGCCTCCCTTCGCCTCGGAGTGGTAAATGGCAAAAACACACAACAAATCCCAGTCGTTGCTGGTTCCCATCTCTTAATGCAGCTAAGCTTCCCACCCGAGCTGACTTTTTTTTTTCTAATGTGCTATTGTATAGCTCGTACCCATTGCTGAGATTTTACTAGCACGGTTATTTATTGTATGGTTTTCACCCGGACAACGCATCGCGCTCCTATAAGCTAAAGCAGAAGCGCTTTAAACGCAAAGGAAAAAAAAGGTCAGTCCCACCAACCTTCGAGGCGATGAAAAGGTCCTTTGCCTTCAGTCAAATGTCAGGAGTTCCCTTGCCTTGCCGCTTGCGGGAACGATGGGGCCCCGAAGGTGCTGGACTTGGGGAGGCGAAGGCGGCCGCTGGTGGTCCTGCTCTCCCCGCGGTGTAAGACTTAAACCAAGCTGCGCTTTTACACTCGTGTCTCTTGGGTTGTTTTTTTTTTTTATACTTACGTGGCCGATAGGTTCTCTAAAGACCTTACCTGGTCTTAATAAGTCTCTTCAAATCACACTTCACTTTTTATTAAGAAAAAAAGGGGAGGGGAGGGGGGGGGAAGCTGCATTGCAAGAAGTCTGTCTGATTATATTTGCAATTATTATGCTCCCGTAATGAACAGTCTGTACTACGCTCAATTTGAAGAAAAGCTAATACGAGGGTGGCATGAGCCACCCCGTGGGAAGGGGTGGGAGTGGGGCAAGAGGGGAATGAATTGAAAAATTGCCTTCCAGTGTACTAATTTATTAATAAATACTAGGTGTTTGTTACTTGACATGAATCTGTGTTAACCTCCTCAACACCTGCCTCTGCTCAGGGGTACCTGGGTTGGAGCAGGGGCTGCTCAGGGTGCCCATGGGGGGGGTGAAGAGGGAGATTTGGGGGTGGTGAGGGGCTTGTCTCCTTTTAGCTTTGAGGCTAATACGTGATTGCTTTCTGCCTTCAGTCCCCACGGTCGCTGCTGGAGCTCTCTGCAGCTGGGGAGGGGGATGCTTCCCGAGCTGGGGTGGGGGACGTGTTAATCCCCATAGGGGTGAGCAGATCAGATGGCTGACGAGGCTTCCAGGGTTGGTTTTTGCAAGCTCTCCAAGGCTTTGCAGGCATTTTGGGGGGGGCTGAAGTATTAATTTTCCAGGATGCAGCTGCTGTGCTGAGTCACTCCTGAGCAAAGCTCTTGCAGTCACAGCTTTTCTCTTGTCCTGTTACGTTACCAACGTCCTTAAAATCACCGCTTCCAAATAACTCATCCCTTGTTATTCTGTCTACAGATGGAAACCTTAATGGGACAAATGCTTCTGGTTTATAGTGCTGTCATTTTGTGTACTTAGCTCCAGCGTGTTCTCTGCTAACTAGGGTGCTGTGTTTTCCTTCTGCCTGGCACTGAAATTTGCCGTTACGGGAGTATACAGGATTAAAGCTTTTCAACACATGGACAGATGAAATACAGTGCAAAATAGCAAGAGCCTTTCTTGAGAGTGCTGGGCTGGGGTTTTCCCTGGCTGGCAATGAAGTATTGAGCTTTAGATGGCTGGAACGTGTCTTCAAAACATCACAAATAAATGGTGAACGTGGCTTGTGCCAGGTTGCTAAAGGTAGTATTTTGAGGTGGAGCCCAGTACCACCCTGTTGGCAAGTGGGTTTTTGTATCTCTGTGCTGGGAGCGGTGGTGGTTGGTGTCGATGTGCCTGGGCAAGAATTGGCGAGGGGAGGGCAGGTGTGCGATTGTGGGCTCGATCAGCAGCCTAAGGCAAGCACGAACTGCTGGCTTTAAATTATCCTTGGCAGGTTCTTGGAGTGAGTCCAGATGGGAAAATCGGGATTTGCCCTTCCCTGATGGTCCAGGTGCTCCCAGCTAAACTCATGGCTTGTAAATGCTGGAGCCATCGGAGCCACCCACCCAGGGCACCGCCAGCCCCATCCCGCAGCTCTGCTTTCCAGCCTGGCAGCAGCTGGCATTTTCTGATGGGGTTTGAAGGTAAGAAAAAACAAAACAACAAAACCCACAAAAAACAAACAAAAACTACAAACCAAACCAAACAAAAAACCCACCAGTCCTGAGCAGAGGATTTAGGATTGCTGAAGAAACACCACAAAGCAGGCATGTCGTGGAGATGCATTGGCCAGGAGATGCTGAAGAAGCATGAGGAAGCTGTTAAAAGTGGGGGCAGGTGGGTCCTTGGGCTGTTGGGACACATTTAACTCATCTTGGTGGCAGGTTGTGGGACAGGCCAAGATTTGGGCAATCCTTGGCTCCATCTGTGCTGTGCAAACTTCCAGCATTGCTCCCTCCTTTGCTTGCACCTGGATGCTGGTCTTGTCTCTGGCTCCATCCTTTCCTATTTCCTAGCTGTGGTCTTTAAGCAGCCCTTTGCTATATACATATGTATGTGTGGGCTATATATTTATTATATATATTTAATATATACTACATATATAGTATATGTGTACATAGATATACAAATATATATACTACATATTCTATATTATATGTA